TAACGATGGTCCTTTTGGATTATTATTCCTAAAGCCACCTGAAGCAATTTCATTAACTGTCATGTCACAGAACACTTTCATTATGTTCGACTCTCACAAGAGAATTGATACAACTGGTGCTTATTTTTACGGTGATGAAAGTGTGGATAATATAATGAGAAAAATTGAAGAAATTTGGCCCGTAACATTTCCAAATTTTCATATGATGTTTGAAGAGAATGAGCAATGGCAATGGGATCTTCTCAATATGTGTGAAGCTCAGGTGGTAGTTCGGTCAGAAATCGTTTTGTTGCCAGCACTAGACATATCTAGACTACAGAAACAAGTCGAAGACTTGAACATGACCATTGATGCTACTTTTAATGAGAAGACATTAGACAGCAGTTCCAATTCCATGCATGCTAGTAATATTCGGCCATCTATCTGTGAATCAATTAAAGATGATGAATCGTCAACCTTACACTGTGTGCATTGTCATCAAAACTTTCTTGCATCGAAGATATTTTTAGTGGAACAATGTCATCACGGACTCTGCATGGCCTGTATGCAGACTTACTTGTCGACATATATATGACATTCACTCAAATGTCCAATTGTTTCTTGCACTGTTACAATAAGTGACTTACAAGTGCAATCTCTTCTGAATGACGAAGAGCTGAAGACAAAATAAGAAGATCAGATAACTGTGCAACGTAATCCTTGTCACAAAAAAGAGTTTTGTCACCTGAGATACCAAATATTTTCACTATAATACTTTCGGACTATAAAACATGCTAAATCGATACTATTGTGTTCTTTTCATTATAAGATATTTGTACATTAAGATTATACTGATAATATTGTTATTAATGACCTCTGCTGGAGGATATTAGTGTGAATAAAAGTGAAGTTGAATGTGTATATTGTCAATTAGATGTATTCATTCAGTGACCCATCTAATCATTTTCAATCAACATTTGGGCATGTAGCAGGAAAATTGTACTCTTTCTTGGACAAAACCTATTGTGATTCGATCAGATAGACTTCCTTCTTCAAAAGAAATACGGAGGTTAAGTGAGAAAAAGAAAATTGAGGAAATTTCTATAACTTCCGTAATTGGGAAACCTTGTGTCAATGGAAAAATGCAAATCAGATACTTTGGATACATAAAAAAAAACAAAGGACGTTTTATAAAATTTGTTTCTGAACTTCTCAAATTATTCATTTAATTTTTTTAAAGAAATCAAAACATCGTTGCTTCTATTCAACCTCTTCGGAACGACCGACTAATCTTCTTTTAGCTTTTTCTATAACCGTTTGACTGATCTCTGTCCTCATGTGGTAAAACAGAAAATAAATAGAGACAGAGAAAAAAGATAAGAGACTTCACCTAATTATTGGAGAAAATGAATATTTCTTTTTCTTATTTCACTCATGATCATTTGATAATTAAATAGTTGTGTACATTGAATATGAGTAGCAAAAACGTTGACAAAATTCATCCGTCTGTTTTTCTAACAAAAGACCAGGGCAACATAAGTACTCAATTATTTTGTATATTTTCTCGATGAATTTGAAACTTTGTCTACGTATCTACTATAGTGCAATAGTGATCGTCTTGATGAAACCAACATAAGTCGAATCATCTGATACTGATAATGATCTAGCAAAATGTAACACCTTCTATAGCAAAGGATTTATTGAATTTTGCCCATCTGGTTGGATTTAGACGACCGATTGAGATAGATGTGAGTCCTCATGTGATAATCAATATTTTATATTGAGTCTTTTTTACTTCCTCATTTTACTCTCGCTAGACCACAAATACGATGATTCATGAGTGTGATACACAGTAAGCAATACTGTTGCTGTTTATTACTACATTCGATCAGTGAGAGATATCTGTAGATTAATTTGTTGATTTAATTACAAAGGTGAATAGTCTTGTTGTCTCTAGCTTAACTGACTCATCACAGTTTGTTCTAGTTTCATTGTAGGATCCGTCTTTTAAAAAAGTCTTCGCAAACGACGAATCGATCTGAAGAAAAAAAATGTTAAAAAGATAGAAAATAAGATCACAAAGTCATTCCGTTCAAAACATTACAATCGACAAAGATAATTTGTAACTGAAATATTATTCAGTGATAGAAATTCAAGAGAGAACATTTCTCACTTCGTTAATTTCATTAAAATAATCAATAATCTTTTCGATGAATTCAATGCATATTTGATAGAAACCCCTATTACTGTAAATATCAATAACTGCTCACATGCTGTATGAAAACTAAGTATGTTACCTTGGCATTGGCTATCGATATTTTAATGCTCATGAAATTACACATTAATATTAAAAAAAGTCCATAAAGCAGTATCAAAAGGAAAAAGATAATTCAAATCAGAGATGTCCATCGCGGCTGAGAATTAGCCGCTGCCGCACCGCCGTCGTTTAAAAAACATGGTGCCGCGCCGCTACCGCGCCGCGTTTGTCAGAAAAACGAAAGCTACCGCACCGCTGCCGCACCGCGTCCGCATTGAAATGTAACGCGCCGCTGCCGCGCCGCGGCTTACTGGAAAAAAAATCTGCCGCTGCCGCGCCGCCGCCGCGACAGTACAAAAAATACAGTCTAGAAAATGTGTTCGTCTCTAAAATAAAAAAAATATGTATTATAAAGTTCATGAATTACTGCACCAAATGCAAGGGTGAAAAACAGATCCCGATAGACTCTATGGATCTTATAGATTTCTAAAGAATATTAATAGAGTGTGTAATAAAATTGTCTGACTCTTCAAAAATCGATCAGAATCCACTTAATAAATATTCATCATGAGGAAAACTACAAAAGTATAAAAACAAATTTATTATATTATTCAAAGATGTTAAGTAATGAGCGATGCAAAAGTTTTTACACAAATCTCAAATCCTGTTAGACCATATTACCAACTTCTGAATCAATCATTTTTTTTTGTTAGTAAGAGCAAAGTCTGAACTACAAGTTTTGTATCAGACATATTTTTCCAGAACGAATCTGAGACGGAGGAAAAGCGGAAAAGCAAATACCTCTAAAAAAGTTCTTGCAACGCCTTTTGCAACTTGAAAAGTCTGTATTTCTCAATTATTTTAAGCTGCATAGGTCAAATTTGAAGAAAACATACATCAAAATGTAGCACATTAAAAACTCTATAATATCAGCTTTGAGACACATTTTGGGATCCATTCTTGACTCTTTAATCAAACAAGTTTGAAACACGAAATTTTTGCAAAATTGAGCCTTTTCAAGAACTATCAGCTTACAAAAATATCAGTCATCATCTCCAGAAATCATGCATGAACTGAATTCTTTTTGCGTTATTTGGTCGAAATATATTTAATCGTAGAATTTTAGCAGAAAAAAATATATTCAAAAAATACTTTTTATCGATGTAAAACGATCAAGTAGTGAGAACGACCAAATGACTCAGTCTCTTTCAGAAAAAGCTATTTGTTGATACAAAAACTAGGAATAGATTTAACTTCCAATACATCATTAGAAAGAGCACTATTTTTACTACAAAAACATCATTGAACGTTTTTTCTCACTCCTCTTCTAATATAAAAAGAAACTAACAGAAAATAGAAAATGATGTTGCTCGATGGTGAAGTTGCAAGAACTCTTTTAGAGGTGTTTGCTTTTTGGCTTTTCCTCCGTCTCAGATTCGTTCTGGAAAAATATGTCTGATAAAAAATTTGTAGTTCAGACTTTGTTCTTTCTAACAAGGAAAATTGATTAATTCAGAAGTTGGTAATATGGTCTAACAGGATTTGATATTTGGGCAAAGACTTTTGCATCGCTCATTATTAAAAAAACGCATAGCGACTTTTTTTAACATATATTGTTTTTATTGTGCCTATGAAACGAGATTGATAATGATAAAAATACACGTCAATTAAAACAGAGCAGCATATATATTCTATAATTGCTATTAACATGTTTTCAAATAGCATCATCATTTATTTACACAATATTAATATTTCTCTTTCTGTTAGTCGATGGAATAGCCTTAAAAGTCTGTTGATCGAGAAAAAAGTTCTCACTAATCTGAATCACGACAGAATTATAATTTCAAGCCTTAAAATTTATTCGAAAAAAATTGGAGAAATTTTTCGAAAATTTTCACCGCTGCCGCGCCGCGCCGTGACAGCCAAAGTAGATAAATTGCCGCTGCCGCTGCCATACTTTTAAAAATCTACCGCGCCGCTGCCGCTGCCGCGATGATTTCGCAAAAAATCTGCCGCTACCGCTGCCGCTGCCGCCGTGGCGGACGCGTCGCGGCAGCGGCAGCGCCGCCATGGACATCTCTGATTCAAATTCCATGCAACATATCGACTGACTACTTGATACGAATGAATGCGACTTCTCATGCAGAGCCCATAATATTTCACATCGTTCAATGTAGGACTGATGCCTCAAGAAGCGACTGATACTATGAAAATGATTTTAGATTAATTGAGATCACAATGAAACAAGATTATTAAATTTTTTTTTTGTACCTTGTTGTTCGTAGATCTATCTAGGCGTATGTGACTACAGTGAAGATATATGTAAATCTTATATTTGTTAATATCGATTACAAACGCTAACAGTTTCGAGTGTTACCAACTCTGTCGACATGCGGCCTCTATGGAGTTTTTTTTTTATTCGATTCTACAAGACCAGCAATACACTCACTACTATGTTTGCGAGAACAGCTTGTGTTAGTGTAGTGTACGTTTTCAGCGGAAAGCAGAATCGACTAATCGAGCTTCTACACTAATTTTTAGCAATACTATTGTTTACATTGTTTTATTAGTTGAACAAAGCTATTCCCTAATGGCTCAAAAATATAGGTCACGATCAAGTGAATCCGAAAGTTCAAGCTCTGATGAAGGTGAAAAAAGACATATGATTGATGAAGACGAATTAGAACGGTTGAATAGTCGCGTATCACACATGGAAGTTTTCCATCATATGCAGACAGCTAGTTCCGAAGTCAAAAATCCAGAAATGCGACTTCAACATTGTTGTTACGTACAATCTGTTGGTCAAATTCCGCATTACACAAATAAACCATCATCAACAGATTTTCAATCTGAAGATGTTGAAAAATATGTTGAATCAGCCATTCTTTATCAAAATGTAACTCAGCTTCTTCAGAAACGTGAAGAATATGCAGTAGTTGAAGATGACTTTGGTCCAACACTGACTCAGATGTTAATTCGTGGAAATAAGCCATCGTTTACAAATCTAGTAGCAGCATGCAGAAAGTTTGATGATGAAGGTTTTATCAACTTACATCTGATGACAACTGAACAGTCTTATCGACACTTTCTGAAAAAAAATATTAGTGAAGATGATGCTAAAGCATACGCATTTGCTATCGCATTTTATACAGGTGCATATAGTGAAATGCTCAATCTAAATGCAAATATATTTGCTCGACGATGGCAACGAAATAAAGCAACAAATGCAGAAAATGTACAAGTTGATGATAATGCAGCTATGATTATGTATTATCTTATAAAAGGTCTTTCACATATTAATTTCTATTGGGGTCGAGTTGTACGATATGTTAAATTGAGTGATAAAGATCTTAAGGATTATAAACCTGGTGAAATTCTTACATGGCTTCAATTTAGTAGTTCTGATAAAGGTGATGATAAAAATGCTAAACATCTAAAATATTTTAAAGAACGTAATACTAAATTTATTATTCATTCTTTAACTGGTCGAGCCATACAAGATTATTCTAATTGTTCTCAAGATGAAGATGAAGTTTTATTTTTACCTCATTCCACATTTCTTGTATGTCATAAAGAAATTAAAGATAGAAAAAACATTATTTATATGAGACAAGTAAATATATATTTTATTTAATTGTTATAAATGAAAATGAATATTATAGATTGAACTTGGTCTATGCAAATATGTTGTCTTATGGGTTGATGATCATATATTTCATGATTGGTGGGAAAATAAAGAACACATGGAAAAAGCAAGTACCCTTGGTACACAAGTCAATGTTCATTTCATCCCAAAATCTACAACAGAAAATGCAGTAGCCTTTCTTCGATCTCCATTTGGACAACGATTAAAAAGTAGTAATACATTTCGGATTGTTACTGATATGAATCGTGATAATGAAAATTCACCAAATGATGCTGGTGTTCGTCTACTTTATCAAGTACGACAGCTTGGATTCTATCAGAAATGTCTTATATTTACTGGTAATGCATGGGAAGGTCGAAGAAAATTAAATAAAGCATTTCAAGGAAATCAAATGAATGACATTCAAGTCACCGAAGATCCAGCTGATCTTGAAAAGTTCGTTCTTTTCAAATGATTTTACCTAATCGCTTTTATTATCTCTTTCTTAAAAAATAGTTGTAATACCGCAGTTTTTTTTGTCTTAAGCGCATTTTTGAATTTATTTTCGTGTACCGGTGAATAAAGTATTCACGTACTACATTATCTCTTTTAAGTGTATTACTTTTTTGAGGATCAACTTTTAAATAAAAAAAGAAAAAGCATTACCTATTATAATTATAATAATTGCGTTTACGGCAACGACATGAATAGAAAACTTTGAAATAGAAAAAACAAAACAAAATACTTGAAGAATCTACTCTAATAAATCCACAGACGCAACATTTCCAGTGGAATTTTCAGATCATATACATACAACTTTGTAATTGAACTCATCATTACATCTTAGTCTCAATGTTAACTATCAAAGAATAATTCATGTATGAAATCTCGTAAGAAACTATAATACAAGCCATATTCACATCTTTTTCAATAAAGATATAATAGAATCAGTTAAACTTTCATCGAGACCTAGCAAGAGCGAAGTTGAGTTATTATGAGTTTGACATATATTTGCATATCATGTAGACTTTTATGGATGCTTTTCTGTGTGTATATGCTAGGTAGACTACTCATATTGACCAAACTTTCATAGTGATAAAAGACCTTCATCGCAATATGATTGTAAGTGTGAATGTGTGTCTTCGTGTTTTTTTCTCTTATACTCACAATCGTATTTCAAAACCATAAACTGATGTAAATAACATAAATGTCAATTATCGACGATATCATTCTGTTTTTCCTTCGTTGAAATCAAGTGTTCGAAATCGAATGAAAGGTTTTTATTATTGACAATTAAACCTTCATTTCAAAATGTTTCAAGTGATAAGAGAATAGTATCAAAAAAATAATTAAAAAAGTTGCGAGATTATAATATAATAAAAAGTTTTTCTCATTGAGTTGTAATAAGGCATCACATTTTTCTTGGTTGAATAATAAATTTAGCATCATGATGACTTGTCTGTGTATGAGGTTGGTGTTTGGGTACATTGTCAAAATGTTTTTCATGTATACTTTTCACAGCTTCAGTCGGAAATGCATCTTGAATCTAAATAGAAAAAAATAAGGCTACAATAACTTCTCATCATGTGAAAAGAATAATACGTACTCGTACAAATTGTCCGGCAATTAATTGTCCAGCTGGTTGATGTTGTACGACAGTACTAAAATAAATAGACACTATTAATACAAGATCAACGTGTAAGCTGATGTCCAATCTACCCTGATGTATCTTCATCACCACCAGTTACAGTTTCGTCTGTTTTTTCTTGTCTACCTTCACCTGTTCCCGCAGTAGTGTTATCATTGGAGTTACCTGTATTACCTTGACCTTGTGT